CAAGCTTGATCTTGGTTTCTGCAAAAGGTGGTTGATCTCCAGATGTGTTGCCTAAAGACCAAATGTGTGGGATTTATCCCAAATTTGATCTCATGGACACTTAGCACTATGGCAGGAAGGCTTTTCCACACACCCAGTACATGCTGCATGCAACAGTAGCAGCACACTACACAGCTGAGTGCATTCAGCCCACAGGGGTCAGCTTGGGAAGGAAATCTCCTGAAGATGTTTTACTGGAAAACTAAGTATGACCCACCCCTCCATAGCAAATAAATGTAGTGAGACAATCTCTGTTCCAACGGTGAGGAAAGAAAATCAACTGTCGAACAAGTGCTCAAGTCATTGTTTGACTTGTCAAGTTCCTGGTAGCAGTAGGCAAGGATCTAGCCTTTGGAGCCATGCCTCTAACTGTTCCTGGAATACCATGGGATATTCATCCCTTGGTGCTAGAGATCTTAACCTTTGCTGCCAGTTACATTATGCAGCATCAATGACCAAAGGACCACAAACTTCTCTGGGTTCTCCCTGCTGCCCCAGTGCAATCTAATCCAAAGAATCAGGATATGGCTGAAGCAAACCCACCACTGTGGGTGAGACTCAAAGAGTGAGCACTGCAGCCTGTAGTCAGCCGGCTGGAATATTTGGCTCCCGCAGAGAAAAAGTCCCACCCTGTTCAGATTTCACAGACAAGAACAATATCACCAACCTATTCAAAGCAAAGTCAAGCCAGATGCCATGTCGTACATTGATCTTGAGCTTTAGAAAGAGAGCACATCCCTTTTCTCTGCCTTGAGCAAGTCTTCTGTTCTGTCCCTCCCCCCACCCCCCCCTGCCTGACCACCCCCTCCAAAAGTTGCTGTAAACACAACAATAGAGGATGTTCTACAGACTGGGGGTGCAGCATGATGGGTGTTTAGAGGTGTCACCCTTTCCATGAACTGAGATGACTAGTCCCAGCAGGCTGGTCTCCCACTGGCTACCCCATATGGGGTCTGGATGTCATTCTACGGCAATGACAAAAAGTCAAAACTCAGGTCACCTAAGCTTTAGGCCAGAGCCCTATCCACAGGACCAAGCTGCCTCCTTTATGGGTCCAGAGCACCTAAGCCGTGAACAGCACACAGGCAGTGCAGATCTGCTCCAGTATCTCTTCTAGAATGTACCCTGCATGCTCCTGCCCCCTGCTCTCGGCCCCAGCCAATGAACAGTCAGGAAGCAGTGCTCAGTCCCCCACCTTTACAGTCCTTCCTGAAAACCCTGCCCATCCCTATAACAAACACATCATGAATCATTCATCTTTAATAGATTATGCAAATCAGAGGACATCAAATCAATGAAGATCAATAACTGCAACCGTTTAATTGCCAGCAAAAACATTTTAAGAATGAGCATTATCTGCAGCCCTTTCTTGGGTAATGGCGCCATTAATCCAAACATTGGATCCTGTCCTAAGTGTAAAGGAATAATTCTCCAAACCTCTCCCCCCTCTGCCTCTCTCTGTTTTCACTTTTCCCTTTTCATTTCCAGTTTCTGAGTTCCCCCATCATTACCACTGGCGAACAGCTCCCAACATTAATGGTTCTGCTTTTGTTACTCTGCGCCTGATTGAAATGTCGCATACAGATTGAGATGTTAGTGCTAAGTTGCCACCTGGGAATGTCAAGCTGGGTCTGAAATGAACTTTTCTCACTCTTGGATCCAGATGATTCAGATGGGGATGTTCCCAAGCTGAGCTGGGACCATTCCAGGAAGTATGGGGGGGAGGGAGGGGGGGGAAGAGGGGGAGGATGCAGGGAGTTTTCTGCAGAAGCCCAAGACTTCTTTTAGAGTTAAGTCCCTCTCCCCCAACCACTTCCAGAAGGCCATGCCCCAAGCTTGTGCAGCATGTCCAGCCCCTAGTGCTAATGAGATAAAATGCTCCATCCTGTGGGAAGGAAATCTCTTGAAGATGTTTCACTGGAAAACTAAATATGACCCACCCCATGCAGGAGGAAAGACTAAATAGTCATCTAGACCAGTGCTTCTCAAAGTGGTGGTCCGCGGACCGCTGCCAATCTGCAGTGAGTTGCCAGGAAAGAAAGAAATATATTCGCCGGTCCACAGCGAGTTGCCAGGAAAGAAAGAAATATATTTTCAGAAGCATAACATTGATATGTCATAGCGCCACAGTTCGTACGTTCCAACACTCCAGGTGACGTCACTTCGTGCAAGGTGAGAAAAGAGAAAGAAACAGCCGGTCGCGCATTTGTGTAGCGCTGTTACACGCAGGTGCTGCCACCGGCTGAACCGGGCACCGGTCCCTGGCCCACTGGAAAAAAAATTGCTGGTCTGCCACATCAGATAGTTTGAGAAGCACTGCTGTAGACAATGGACAGACTAGATTATCAGAGCAGGTCCTTTCTGATCTTAAAATCTATGAGTCTCAGGACCCCTTCCTCAGTGCCATCCAGTTAGGGGGGAGTTACCTTCCATGAAGGAAGGATGGGGTTGCTCTGTCTCTAATCTAACTGCCTGGGGCTGGGGGGATGCCTTCTGCTAGGACATTAGCTCAGACATTGTTTTTTCACCTCTAATAGCTAGGTGGGGGCTGTCCTCTCATTCTGCCCTTACCTCTGGACCATTGTGGTACTCCAGTGAGATATAAGGGTGCCCTTCCTCTCTCTCTGTCTCTGATGCTGTTTTGCAGGGGTCTCCCCCAAAGGATGTAAAGATACTATGTTCCCCGGATCCTGTGTTCCAGGCTTTGAAGCTAGATCGTGCTTCAAGGCATGTTTTTAACTTAGCTGAGTATGAAGAAGAGGCACAGTTTTTCCTCAAATGATCTGCCTTTCTATCGGGCTAAAATTTATGTAAGAGGTAGGGCAGGTTGGCTTTATAAGGACCTCTGGTCAAGCTCTGGTATCACCAAAACCAAGAAGTTACCTTAGGTCCTCACAGACATATGTCCATGGCTCTCCCAGAGTGAGGCTCTGCACCTTCCTGTGATGCTCTGTGAATGTGTGTGGACTCAGACCTGTCTGCCCTATGCTGGTAGATCCCACTTAAGCTCCAGTTTGCTATTTATTTCATATGGTATCCTACAAAGTCTCTTTGCTCAGCAGCAGCTTGAGGAAAGCAGAATCTAAATTACATGGGCTGAAATCAACTGTAACAGCTGGTTAGGGGCTATGCCTACCTCAGCCATGAGTCGCATTGACCCTTTAGGTTAGTGCCTATGACTGTCACCAATTATGTGGCAGGAGGAGACACAAGCCTGCTGTATGGTGATGTTTATCTCCCTCTGCTTTTCCTATGTGTATTTCACTGGTCTATATGGAGCAGCTTTGACATCCACGTCTAGGATGACTTGGGTGTAGGGGATTGGAATTGTGTTAGAACAGAGGTAAGAGGCAAAACCGTAGCACTCAAATCCTCAGATACCATCCCCAGGCTGGTAGGATGCTCCCTACAGAGGATGGGAAGGGGGCACATGGTCCCTTGGGAATGACCCCCTGACTGCAGGACACTTAATTTTAAGGGATTTTCCTCAAACAAATCATTGTACAGGAGCACCTCCATAAAAATAACTCGTTAGATTGGTAGCATCACCTCCGCAGCTTGTCTCTGTGGGCTGGAGAGCAGTGCCTTGCCACTGCTGCACGGGGAGCATCCAAAGGCCCACGGGTCAGTGGGTCATCTCCTGTGAGGGATCAGGAAGGGCCTCCATTCAACTGGCTGAGATTCTGGCCAGTGATATGGACTTTCTTTCTCCCTTCTATCACCTCTGCGATTCCTTGCTCAGTCAAGTATCTTCCACTGCTTCCATTTCTATCTCTTCTTTCCTAGCATCTCAAATTCTTTGTTCACAGGAGATTTCTCCAGCAGCAGGCCTTTTCCCCACGAGGGGCTTCCCTAGTGTTAACCTCAGGAAGCTGCACACAATCATGAGACACAGAAATCTTGCTTCAGAAGGGTTTGAGGTCAAGTGCCTTGCCTGCTGCACTATCTGAGATCAGCTCATGAGTGATCTACTGCTCCTGCTACCATTTGTCTTGAGTTACTCCAATTTCTATACTGCTTTGCACTTATACAGGCCATGGAGCCTAATTCCAGCTTGAGGATGTTATGCCTAGCAACTCCTGTACCATTCAGGATATGTGGATGCAACGGGCCATGCGATCATTTTAGCAGATCTGTTGGCTCAGAACATGCCTTTTATCCCCTAGCATCCTGACACCCTTGATGTCTTGAACTTGGCCTCATTCCCTCCCTCTGACTTTCATTCACACCTTCTTTTAATATAGCTGTTAAAAGGAAGAGATTTCTTGAAAGGCATGTAGGTTGAGTCAGGGAGAGTTTAGCTATCATAAAACAGCAAGCACAAAATGATTTGCAAATGTCCCTTCTAAATGTTAAGTGCAAATACAGTCCAAATAATTTTCCCCCAGAGTCCAGGTGTGAATCAAAGGTGAAGCTTATTCCCAAACCTAAAAGAGAAATTGCAGACACAACAAAACAGACCCTCTGCTCTGTCTTCCTATTCTGTTGCTGTGGACACCTATCCCTTGTCTATATCTGGGTAGAGCGGTTGATGACCTACACCTTGGCATATATGCCCGTAATGGAAAACTGTACCTGATACACACCTAAGACACGCCTGGCCACACTTGTCCTCAGTCAACATCTGTATATGACCTACACCTGAGTACCTCTTCCTCATCCACACTTAGACTTATCTGGCCCTCATGCACACTTAGACAGAACTGTTCCTGAGAAAAAATGGTCCTCAATCAACATCCAGACCTGATCCACACCTGCATACACTTGTCCCTTACCCATACCTGTGTGTACCCCCAGCTGCCAATGCTGTGAATTTTGACTTTGCTTTCTCCCTTCTCTCCCTCAGACTCTCTCTGTCTATTTTGATGTTAGCCACAGAAATGTATCTTGCGTTGGCAGAAAAAAGCAGAAGCTTGTGATGATGAGGGAAATAAAATGAGAGGCTTAGGTAGGCAGCTTACCAGTCACCACAGGGTACGTCTGGGGTCCTGACACGTTGGTCCCCAGGTCTGGGTTAGCAGAGGTGGATAGACTTGATTTGACTTCATCAAGACCAGGGGTCAGAGCTGGGAGGGAGTACTCATTACCCTAGGGAGGAGAGGAGAAAGACAGCTTGCTATTGATGCGCTGAGAGAAAGGGAATGGTGTACAGATGGGGGAGAAAGGGAAAAGATGCAAAGCCTTGCACAGATGGGGGAGGAGGAGGAGGAGGAAATGAAACAGATGAAGAAGAAAGGGAAGACAAGAGGGAATTCCCAGGATGAGACCTTCATTTCTCATGTGAGCGGCATCTCCTTTCCCATCTCTAGCAGCAATGCGGATGGCTTGTCTACTGCAGACGAGCACAGAATCTGGCCCACTGTCCCCCATGTGGCTGTGCTCTTGCTCAAGGATGGGAGAAGTTTGAATGTGCAAACTCAAGGTGCTGTGCTATCAGATCTGGCATCCTCTCTAGTTGAGAAAAAGCAAGAGAATAACTAACGCGTTTGCCTTGACAGGTGGAGTAGTAGGGGGAGAAGGCTGTGCTGGATCTGACAGGGACACTGGGGCATTTCTGCTGTAGGAAGGGGCTTGTGTTGGTGGGTGTCCATTGTATCTGAGTTCAGTTTGCTGGGAGCTCCCTCTGCCCTCCTGAGCCCACTCCACCCCCAACCACCACCTCTCTCCTGGCTCTTTAAAAACAAACAAAGGAGCCTCATCCCCCGCCTCTGCCACTCTGTGCATTGGGGTATGAAATTGGGGAGGGGGGCAGCCACATGGCTAACAGAAGGGTGGGAGGGGGAGAGCCATTGAATCTGAAAGGGGGTCCTGTCGGAAAGGCTCTGGTAATTGCCTTTTTATTGTAGCAGCCTCCGGACCAGACGCGGGAGCTGGAGGAACCGGGAAGACTACAAAACAGCAGGAAAAGTTGCTCTGATTAATATTACGTTAAATTAAAACTGATTTTCTGCTCTTTCTGCTCCGTTTTTTTCCATCCACTTCTTCAGCCTCCCCCCTCACAGCAACTCCTTACAAGCTGCCACTCCACCCCGCCCCCTCCTGTCCCTGGCCAGCCACGATTGCCTAGTCATTTCCAATTCCTTCTCGTATTGATCTTCCTGTAGAAATCAGTTTTGTAATTAGCTGCAAATTAGGCCTTCTACTGGGGGTGAGCCTGCCCCCTGATTTATCACCAGACTAATTCGCTGTGATCGGAGAGAAATTAAAATGAACTCAATTAGGCTTCGGATTTGCTTTATGGGCCCTGCTCAGAGTTTCAGGGGGAAAAATGACTGTGCTGGTGCTTAATAGTCTAATGAAAGTAAATAAAGGTTATTCATTGTAATAAACCCAGGGACTCTGGGATGAAGGGAGTCCACAGCCAGCCTCTCCTTCCCTTCCTTTGTTGGTTTATGGCTTGGGGCAGTTTAAAAAGACTTTTGATTTTCATTATATTAAGACAAACAGCTTTTGGGATAAAAGCCTGAGTGGGGGAAAGAGGCAAGAACTGCTGAAGTGCAGAGAGCTAGGCTGAAAAAAGGGACAGGTTCCAACTTTGAGCCATGACAAAGGAGCCCACTGGATTTCATGGACTTTGGATCAGGCCCTTGGTTCCTGGTTTCTGAGTTGATTTGAAGATGCAAGTATTTCTGTGCAATGTTGTGCTTATGGACATGGTGTATGTGCATCCACAGAGAGAGGTGAGCGTGTGCGTGTATACATGTAGTACATAGGTGTGTGTGTAGGAAAAGGTGTGGCCATGCAGAGAGGGATATGCACACATGCATGTCAATATTGAGACCTATGCACACACATTTAGTGTGTATGTGCACGTGTGTCTCGAGGAGAAGCAGTGGATGCGTGTGTATATGTATGGTCAGATCATATCAGCAGCTTGTGTACATGCAGGTGGTAGGGGTGTATTTGTATGTGTGCCATGCATGCAATAGAGGGTACATGTGAGAGCATGGAGGCTTGCTGCATTTCAGGAGCCTCCTGCTTGACCCCTGTTTGTAGCCTTGTTCCCAGGCCAAGCAATCACCTGCTCAGATTTGATGTGCTCTGATGTTTGGAAGACGTCAGGGTAAGAAGGACGTTCAAAGACTCGGTCTAAAGCTTCCAGCTGCTGTTGGGTGAAAGTGTCAGCACGAAGGTGCTTTCGCAAACTGTCCACACTGCTCTGGGAGTCTCCATTGGGAACTGAGCCCTCAGATACATCTGCAGGATACAGAGAGAAAGAGAACGAGGAATTAGCATCTCCTGATCCTTGGCTCAGGGAGGCTCAATAACTGATGTAGAGCAAGAAAAAGAGGCTAGGAAAGCAAAGTCCCCACCCAAAGCACTGTGCTGCTCTCCTCTCGGGAAAGGAAGGCTGAGGGTCCTACTGGAGACCCCCTTCCACCTGTCCTTGCAACTGGCCTGCTGGCAATGCTTCCACTGGGAACTTCGGGACCCTCCCACCCAGCGCGATTGAGGCTGTGGAGAATGGCACTCGGCTCGGAGATGAGTTTCAGTTCCGCTGATTTCCAGTGTTAAAAATCGCCAAATCTCCATTGCAGAGCGTAAAATGGGAGCAAAGCAGAGCGATTAGCATTGCTATGAGGCTACCAAAGAGGCAGCTCATGAAAAAACCTTGGGGCTGAGGGATTGGGACTTGTGGCCAAATCACAGAGGTCCAGGGAAACCTGTGGTTTATAGAGCTCTCTGTTATGGTCCCCCCCCCTAGAAAGACTCAGACTCTGTTACAACAGAAGTGGGCTTGCCACTGCTAAACGTCCTGCCTCATCCAGCATGAGCCTGTCGCTGGTATAAATCTCTGTCCCACCTAACAGGAGTTGGTTTCTACTCCATCTCCCTGTCTTATCCCAGGTGAACCTGTCTCCCTCATAACTCAACTATCCCTCACCGGTCCTCCTGAGGTGATGCCGTCTCCATCGTAAACCCCAACTGAGGAGAATCTGTCTTTAACTGCTTGTCCCATCTGAGGTGAATGCTAGCCCACCATCCCATCCAACATGCACCAGCCTTTGTTGAGCCCGCATCCCATCTCAGACTAAGAATTGTTTCTGTTAATACCTCTGTTCCCTCCAGTCAAGTATTTCTCTCTGTTATAAACTCCTGGCTCATATGAGCTGAGTCTCCCGCTGCATAATCGCCCTCCCTATCCAGTGCTATAAACCTCTATGACTACTGCAGTGATCTTTGTTCTAGGGCTCATGCCACCTGTGCTGAGTGTGTTTCATTACCATCCTCCACACCAGCCAACGTGAGTCCCCTATTCTAACGTGTCATGCCAGCTAAGGTGAGTCTTGTTGTTAGATGCCCTCCATCCCCATGAAGCTCAGACTATCTCTGTAAAAATCCCCTGTCCCATCTGAAGTGAGTCTCTATGTAAAAATGCCCTGTCATACCCAAAGTGAGTCTCTCTCTGTAAAAGCTTCCTGCCTACAAGTCAGGCTCTGCTGTAACTCCCCTTCCCATCTCACTTAAGTTTCTTTGTCAAAGCCCTCCCCTCCATCCAATCTAAGTCTGTTATTAACTCATCTGAGGTCAGGCTCTCCCTCTGATACCTCCCATTCCTTGGCTCTGCGTTGTTACCCTCAATGCAAGGTCTCCCCTGATATGCCAGGCTTTGTCTGAGGCTCACAATCCATGAAGCCTGTAGGCTGCAATGTGCTCCTTAAGACTGGGCACCTCTACTCGATCTCATCCTTTCTTCTTCTAATTGTGGGCCTCCCAAAGGCAGAGCAGTACTGAGGGGAGCACCTCAGCCTGCCCTTGCACTCACTGTAGGTTGCCTTGGGTCCTGCTGTCTTGCACTCAGAAGAACCTGGGACCCATCCTACGGAGGGTGTGTGCGCTGCTGGGTAGTTTCCCTGCACAATTCCCATCCCAACTGGAAGCCTGACTCCATGGTGGCCCAGAGTAATAACTGAGCCTGCTCCCTCCTGGCTGTGAGATATATCCGTTTATAGGTGATTATACGATATGATATAATCAATAGTACATTATATACAGTAACGTAGTACAGTACCACTCACAACACCATAGAAAATATTACATATTGATTTGTCCCAGCCAGCAGCATTCCCCCCGCCCTCTCTCAATTTTTCTCTCTCTTCTCCGACCAGGGTGGGGCTCTTTGCTGGTGCTAAACCCTTTTTCCTTTGCTCAGTCTCGTTCCCATGAGGCCAAATCCTGAAATCTTTCTTCTCAAGCCAAACTCTCATTGGAATTGATGAGAAAGTTGCCTGAGCAAAAACAAAGCAAGAACTCTGTTTTCAAATAGCTCAGCTTGCTGGATGCAGGCTGGTTTCTGCAAGCTGGGAATATACTGGCTGGTTGTTTTCCAAAGCCCTGAAGGCATTTAAGTGCAGAGACCTGTTGACTTTCAATGCGACTTGCGCTCCTAATTCCATTAGGCACTTCTGGAAATCACCTCCTGACAGGTGCCTAAATGAGTGTGTAGATCTTTTGAAGACTCTGGTCCCCATTGTGGAAAACTGGCATGTAGCATTTGGGAGGCTGGTATGGGGCTCTCTGGAAAAGCTGGATGTGCTCACAAATAGGAGTATGTGTGCTGGTATATTTGCCTTTCTGCATTTCTAGAAGTCCTTAATGTAAATTTGTGTGTGCTTCCCTTTGGGTGTTTCTCCACACTTGTCACTGTGTGTGCTTGGCTTCCTGAGTGCTCAGTAGATTGTGTGTCAGGGTACATGACTTTGCTAGTGTACACATAGTACACCACTGTGTTGCTGGGCATATCTGTGTGGGCATGAGTGTGTACACATGCAGTAAACTACATGGTAGTGAGCATGTTTGAATGTGTGCCCAAAGGATTGTATATGAGTATATGTGTATAGTGTGGCAGGGGTGTAGGTTGTAGCCATGTATAGTGTGTACACATAGTGGATTTTATGTCAATGTACATGCCTGACTGTGTACATAGTAGACTGGATACTCCTGTGTGTATCTGGGTGAGTATGTGCACAATAGATGATATGTGATTTGCATGTCTGTCTTCTGACATGGAGGAGTATGAAATACTGGGCTCTGAATCCATGTCTATGAGGGCCTGTTTGTGTGCACATAGGTCTGTGTGTGCTTTTGCATGCCAGTGTAGCTGCACATCTGTAATATGGGCCTGTAACGAACAGAATGGCAAACAACCCATTGACTTTCACAGGGCCAGAGTCCACCCTTTGTGTGTGTGTTTGTGTGTGTATGTGTGGCTATACATGCTTGCATGCATATACCATCTGTATGTCTGTGTGCCTGTAATGTGTCTGTGTATCTGTATGTGTATATGTGAGTGCTTGGGCATTTGCCATGCCTTTGTGCATAGAAGCTGAAACCACAGCTTTCACAAGTCGCTGTAGGAGTCTCTTTTCCTTCATTTATTCAGGGGCCCTTCAGATCTTGACAAATCTGTCACTCTAAATTTGCGAGAGATTATGGTGCTCTCTCCCCAGCGCGAAGAGAGGTGATATATGATATCTGCTGCCCCTATTGATTGCCTGATCTGGTGGCAGAGGGCTGGCGAAATGAACTTGAAATGAACATCATGCCTCAACTCATTGTGCGTATAATACACTACTTAATCCCACATTTTTCAGCCGCTATGGAATTCAATTGATCAATCATGTCCCACTGATAGTACTGTTTTAGGGGTTATTGCTGCTCTGCTCACTGACCTTTTTATTTATTTATTTATTTGTTTGTTTGTTTATTATATTTTTTTGGAAAACTCGGGTGCTGGTGATGAGAGAGGGCTGGCACTGCCACTGAGGGATGGAAAAAGGGGTGAAAGGAGGAGAACAGGGGAGAGAGGAAGAAAAAAGGAACCAAATTGATTAAAGACAGAGAAGAAGGAGTGAGCTGTACAGGAAGGAACAAAAAGCAGTTTACATAAGGGACAGAGAAAGTTTTAAAGAGAAAGAGAGACGGTGTATTTTAGCTTAAACAGAAGATATGAGCTAGGTGGGTGCAGCTCTGTTGTTTGGTGATATGCAGGAAGTCAAGTTAGATCTGTGACAGATGAAGAATGCAGAGCAGGAGATGTGCCAGTGGCCCAGAGACTTCTCCTAAACTCCTTGTAGGGGTACTGGGCTTGAGACCCGGGGCACACAAAGCTTCAGGGGAAAGTTCCCTGAGAGGATTTCCCTATAGGGCCACTGGCAGAGTATTTATAAGGCTAGGAAAGTTTGATATACAGGATCTTGAAAGATGGAGGTTTTTAGATCCTGCCTTGCCAATCCTAGAATTTCCATAATCACAGTCCCACCCTTAAAAATCCTTTGGATGTAAAGCGTATGCTCCAAGTCTCTGGGTTTGTCTCTTGGTGTTGGAGCCTGGGAGGTTGCATTTGCAAGGTTTTCTCTCAAACTGCAAGAGATGGAGATGCATTGTGGTTGCTTTACCTAGGAGCTGGGATTCTCATCTAAACATGCCACTCCAGCACTGAGGGTCTAGGAAAAATCCCAAATATCTTGAGCTGTATGGTAAAAATACAGGAGCTGGGCATACTGTGGGTGGAAGAGGAAGGGTTGGTAATGGCAAAGGAACAGGGTGGAGAAACATTCAAGAGAAGGGCTGGGGTGAAGAGGGTTTGGGAGCAAAATCTGGGGAGGGCAGCACATGCCATAAAGAATGGGCATTTTGATGGGCAAAGGGGAAGAGATGAAAGAGTTAGCTGTAATGGGGAAGTAGGGAGATGGCACGGGATAGTTGGAGAACAGAGGACTCTGAGAGAAGAACAAGCATGGGCTCAGAAAGATAAAAGGTAAAGAGAGGAACTCACAGGGTGCAGGAGCCTCCGGAGATGACAGAGCTCAGGGAGAAAGGCTACTTTCCCAGGGGAGGCTAAGAGGAAGGCCTGAGAAGGAGCAAAGTTTCTGGGAGTTCACAGGGTGCATCTGGGAGGTGTGTTGGGAAGTGAGGGGCATTGTGAGGGAGTGAAGGGTGAGGAGATGGAGTCTGTAGACAGGAGGAAAGTACAGGCAAAGTTGCAGTTGTGGTGACATACTACTTCAGAGGCAAAATCAGTAGAGAATGCCAGGCAGATAACTTGGCAGTACATGTGGGACTAGCAAGAGATGACTCCCATGATCCCAGTTGTGACTGGCATAGGAATCCCTCTAGCCCAGGGATGCATGGACACCTCTCCCTTAGAACAGGAAAGCTTTGACAAATGCCTTGAAAGCAGAACCACGGGCTTT